CCCTGTGAAGATTTGAAAAGTACCCCCTTAGACATGTATAAACTTGCTGTAATCTAATCTAATTGCTGTTATTCTTTATTTATTTATTATCAATTTGCATTCTTAATGTTAATCATTGAAAAAGATTCACAGCACATCCTGGGATCTTTGATAAGCGAAGGATTTGCTTTTGTTTTCTCCATTTGCAGTTCAAGTCAAATGCAGTTCACTATGTGTCTATTAGTTTACGAGTCCCACTGGCAAAAACAAATAAAGTATTAAAGGGACGGCATAATGGAGTTTCAGCATCACACATATGCCAAGGATAGATGAAGTATCATTTTCCTGATTAACATCGTTCAGTTCAGCCATCATGAGTCACTGCCAGTTCTTCAGAGGAGCACTTCCAGCTAAGTATGCCATATTTGGTATTTATTCTCGCCATGTCCCTTTATACAGAACTCACAGATGTTCCTGGCAACACAAAATAGAATATTACCCAGATAAGAGCTTATCTGGGTTCCAGACAAGAACATATGTTTGCTCGTACCAACTGAAACACTGTTTGCTGATGTCGACACCAATCAGGTCTTTGGCCTTTTATTAAAATGTTGAACATGGATTACAATCTGTGTCCCTATCCTGATCACACAGATGCAGTGAAACACTGTAATGCAATACTTTGTCATATGATTCACTTAATAACACTTGTTTGTACTTTGTCACAAAAGAGCTTGTAAATACCTATCTAGATAACTTTTCCAATATGACAAGGACTGTCTTTTGGGGAATAGGATTTCTTGTTTTTCCGTTAAACATCAATGTATATTGATAAAAAAATATTCAAATCTGCTTCTTTGATTAGACACTGGTGTGGACAAAGATGCATTTTTCCTTTAGATTTTGTTCTAAATAGTCAAATATGAGTGAATAGCTATGGCAATAATGTGACTGGAGCGTAAAGCAGCAGGCCCTTGGCAACACTATACCATCACAGAGATCATTCAGACTGATTTATACCCTGAGAAAGGCTTGTGTCTTAGGACATAAATTGAGTTGCGGTGTGCATTGAGAAAAGGAAAGGCCCATAAACCGGTTGGGACAGAGGGAGAGGGGAACAATGGGCTGCCATCAGGAGGAGAGCCCCAACAGCTGCAGAGCCCTGTATACCAACACACACTCATGAGCACACACATATTACTTTCCTTTCTGTCTCTCTGTGTCACGCACGCACGCACGCATGCAAAAAGACAGACAGACAGACAGACAGACAGTTTTCTTCTTCATACACTTGTCACAGCCATCTGAAAAGGGGCCAGAGCTAAGCAGATGTTCTGCCACTGCCTTCACAAAGGGCACAAGTTACTATTGGAGGGAAAATAAGGGGGACAGACTTCCTCATTACATCCTGCGCTGTTGAGTCAGCATGCAAAGTTTCTTGACAAGTGCTTATTTTGCCCTGTTTAACTCACTGCATGTTTATTTTATGTTAAATTCAGTTAAAGTAGTGAGCTGTCACTGCCGCAAGACCTGTATCCGAGACATCTTGGTTCCTACCGAAGCATGGCATGTAAATATGTAACTTTCACAAATATATAGTTGAATGTTTTAAGGAGGAAAAAAAAATGACCTAAAACATCTGGCACTGCAGTTTTAAGTATACTTTATTGAAATAGGTAAAAATTGTGCATCAGTTGTGGACCATTTTCATCTGTGGCGTGGATTATAACACGTATTTTTTCTCCGGCACCATTATTGTGTACTGGGCACTTAACTATGCTCCTGGCTTTTTGTTGTGTTTTTAACTAAAATCAGTGAATCATTATTTGGAGAATAAAATAATCTTCAATTTTTTAGATTCCCAACAATGTATTAAACTTCATGTTAATACACTGGTCATCGCTTCTCAAAAGTGGATATTTGCTGTTGTATTAGTCTGTTATTACATTAAAGACGTATGTGTTCTAAACTGCTGGTTAAACCAAACAAGCAATTTCAAAAGGTTAAACTGGGAAATTGTAATTTCACCTACTATTTTCTGAATGGGTCAAACGAATACTAAATCAAGCAAAAATACCTCAAAATTTAACTCCAAAACAGCACTTAGGTGTATAAACCATCCCCCTCTTACGAAACAGTTTTCCCTACATCAACAAGCCTTGGTTGCTTGTATAACCTCAGGTACTAAGATATATCACACAACAAGATCACATTTTCAGGAATGCAAGACATTTCCAGCATGAATACTGCACTAATAGATGTTGTTTTTCAAAAAGATATCGCTCATGCCCTGCAGTGAATGTGTTGAAAAATGGTTTGTGTCCTTCCTTAGGAACATAGCCTGTTTTCCCTAACGCCCTCTCCTCTCCCCCTTGCTCTCCCCTTTTCTCTCTTTCTCACACAAACACACACGATGCAGCCTGCAGGTTTTGACCTGTAAATAACTGCCCAGACAGGGTCTAGTCAGTCAGATGGGGCGGCAGGCCGAGGCGTCAGGGCCTACACGGCTCCTGCAGAGCAATAACAGATGCTTATCATGTTTTACTGAGGGTAGTGGTGGTGGTGGAGGAGAAGGAGGGTGAATGTGGGCCCCCGTCGATGAATGGCTCTGACAACAAAATGCCCTCAATCATGGGTAGACATATAGTACATTGGAAAAAACCTGAAATAGTTTTGTCTGGAGCAATAAAATGGAGTCATATCCACAAAGAGAGAGGGGGGAATGTGTGTGTAGATTTCAATGTAAGTGCGTGTGCCTTAAAGAGAGGGAGAGCGCATGTGCACTCTTACACCCACTGCAGCTTTTCAGCAGCTCATCCACTGGCACATTCCAAGTAGAGGCAACCGCAAACAAATGGCTTAAGGTTCAAGTGAAGTATGTTTCATTCCTTTCTCTGCTGTCTCGGACGCTCTTAAAGTCTCGGGTTGGGCCTGCGAGTAGGGACAGGGGTTAGATACAAGGTCAAAGAGGAGAGGATTACTCAAGATACACTTCAGATAAAAGTGTCAGTCCGATAATCGACAGTGATCCATCACGTTGCAGGCCGTGCTTTTAGGTTCGGGCTGCCATTGGAATATGAAAAATTGCCTTTGTGGTGTGCAGTAATGAAGATAAAACTATGAAAAGATAAATGCATTATGACATACACAATCCGACTCATTTGTAAAGGGTAGGAGAAGATTCAGAGCCATCACCAGCCTCCTCATTGTGTTTCTCTGCAGAGGGTCGAGCCACATTCTCCCCTGAGACGAAAGTCGTTTTCCCTGCTGTTTGCTGGAATGCCTTCCTCACAGCTACCAGTGAAGGTGGTAATTTGAAGTCCTGCCTCACTGCTCTACAGCTGAATTTAATTCACATTTCGGGGACAAATATGTGTTGAATTTCAATAGAGAGGCTGGAGCCGCCTTTCCCTTACACATCACATACTGTTCCAATGAGATTACACTTTCTCTCCTATGTTACTAAAAAGGAAAACATCCTCAAATGCAGAATGTAAATATACACTTTAATACAGTATAATGTCAAGGCAGCTGGCCTTAAATGTATTTTTATTTAGTGCTACTGTATACTTCTTCTCCATTGCATATCCAAGCTAAATATTTTACCTTTGACTCTACTGTATTTATTTTAAATACGGTTAGATTTCAGATTAAAAGCTTCATGTTAACAGTCAGTTTCTAAAATAGGATGCATTGGCAATGTAGTTAAAATGCTAAATACAAAACTGACAAAGGGGCCATTTTGTAAATTGTTTCACTTTGATACTTAAAGAACATTTAGCTAATTTCTACTTTATAAACTTGATTACAAAACATTTATTACCAAATACTACTATGTTTTACTTTAATTAAAGGTGACCTATCATGCAAAATGGACTTGTGTATGTCTTTTATACATGAATATGTGTCCCCGGTGTTCCAGGGAACTCACCAAGTGTCAGAAAACTCAACCCTCTCTATTTTCCTCCATACCCAAATCTCTTAAAAAGGGGCTGCAACGGATCTGATACAGATTGATCTAGATTTGAACACTTCTATGACGTCACAGAAGTGGCGCAACGGCTATTGGGCCAACTCCACCAATCAGGAGGAGACAGCCACAGACATTGCCGTTCGAAAGCGCTGGAGACGCTGTAGTACATATGCCAGGCCTGTAGATGGTGCTGTTCTCACAGAATCAGCCCATGAAAAGACAGTGTTAATTTGAGGGAAATGAGGAATGGCTAAAATGCATGATCTGTTTGGTATTTTGAAAAATAAAAAGTATAAATATGCCTTATGGTCCTACACTATATTATTCAAATATAGCATGATAGGTCCACTTTAAGTAAGATACCTCAATACTTATTGCACCATTGTTGTAGTTAGGACTGCAGGTATTGTGGGATCATTTTCTTGGTTAATTGCAGATGTGTGGACTTGAGTGACATGACTTTCATTTTATCAGCAGGTTTAATTGTGTAAAGTGAATAGCTGATGATTAATTAGGCCTATCTGTTAATCGAATGATCAATTAATTGATTATTGATTTATTGTGTTAGCTCTTAATAAAATACTCACTCCAGTTAACCAATCTACTGTAGTATTCACTGTCTTGCATTTAGTTCTTAAATGATAAATTCCCTTAACTTTATTAATGAGGAGAATAAACAGGCGAAAATGTAATCCTAAAGCTTTTTCATTTATTATAAGAAAATAATGTTTCAAGCTAAATAGCCAACGTATCGTTTCAGCTCCTCGGTTATATTACTGTTTTCCTGATTTTAGCAATCAGGCCTATTTATCTCTAAATAGCCTATATGTCACTGTTGGACAAAACAAAGGAAAACATTCCAAACAGGCTATCTGAGCTCAGCTGCAAACATGAGGAGAAGGTGAGGTGAGGCGCTAGAGAGAAAGAAAGAGAGAGAAATTGAGAGAAATAGGGAAGGGAGGGAGGGATGAGGGCAAAGTGTGTGTGAGTAGAGCAGAGAGAGGGAGGGAGGGAGAGCGGTGGTGCAGTTTAGCAGAGAGAGCAGGAGTGAGTGAGGCGACAGCGCGGAGGTGACAGCGGAGAATGGAGAGGAGCCCGTCCGCCCGGCGAGCTTTGACCGCGGCGAGCGAGGAGAACCCACTCGGCCCTTTCCTTCTGGAGCCAGCGTGCTGAAAGAAACCTTGAGGAATAAACTGGGGGCAAAGGAAAGGAATGGCTGATCCTCTGCGGAGGACTTTACTAGCGAAACTCCGGGGGAAGAAATCCAAGAAAGGAGCGACAGTCGGCGGTGGATACGGCTCTGCTGCTGCGGCGAATGGGGGCCGAGAAGGTAAAGAAAAAGTTTTGCAAACGCAGCGAGACTCCGACGAGGCTCGCCCGGTAGTCTTGCTCACAGAGCTGGATTGCACGACAGAGAGAATGAGTACGTACGAGAATTGTGTTGACGGTGCGATGGTGCAAACAGGGGGGGTGGTAGCAGTCCGGGAGGGTCTCGCAGCAGAGTTGCCCGGCGCACTTCCCCAGGAGCCGAGCAGCGGGGGCAGGGTTCGGGTTAACGAGGAGCTCCTGGGGGTCTCACTTCAAAGAAACGCGCAGTTTGTTGCACATGAGGTAGATAGGAGCCACCAGGCACCCAGATCCACTGACAAAACCGTGTTATCTGCGGGGGTCCCGCTTGGTGGACCGCATGTCCACAGAAAACACTTCGTCTCGGTGCCGCGGCAGTGCAGCGGAGGGGACTCAATTGGGTTTGGGGACAATTCAAATTACGTTTTGTGCCGAGAGCCGCATACCGGGGTCAGTAAACCGCCAGAGGCCCAGGTTATTGCTGCTGATAGGGATGGGAGGGAGCCCAGAGACGGAGGATATTCCCGGCACATGGCAGACACTGAAGTGGCTGTTAATGAACACAACGCAAACTGGAGTTATGACAACAGTCAAACTTTGGGGACAGACTTGCCAGTTTGCGCAGCACTTGAATATACACACTGTATGTCAAGGAGCACAGAAGAAAACATTGTAATCAGAAATATAGAGAGTTATGGGCCGGAGTATGCAGGGGACATGCGAGGGACTGCAGGCAGTCTGCAGAGCCCGACGTTTTTCCCCACAGAGTTAGACATATGCGACATTAACATGGCATCCCTGTGCGCCACAGAGACGTCACTAAGATACCCTTTAGATAGTGAAGATGATGATTATTATGATAATGAAATTTTGCCTTTTTATGCAACGATCAGAGCAAAAAGTGATGGTGAGAAAGCAGAGGTTACAGAGCTGCCACGGCCTGGTCAGGTTAAAGGACAGCTGGATGACAGTAACAGTGCACAGGAAACTGACAGGCTTAGAAACCAGCTGAAAGAAGCGTATTACCTTCTAATAAATGCTATGAACGATATCAACCTGGATGTCCAGCAGATTAATGTTGGTTTAATTGAGCAGCAGGCCAACTCTTCATGTAGTAGCCACTCCAGGGATAGCCTGTGCTCGAGGTTGTCCGCCAAAAACATGGACAGCGACTCCTGGTCATCGGGAGGCGACCACAGTCCACAGCAGGTGTCTGACACTGACTCACTCCTGCTTTGCCTCAGTGGGAACTTTGAGTCAGGCCTCAAAGCCAGGCTGAACAGTAAGAGTATGGTAAACCTGTCCCTGACTAAGATAAGACCCATGTTACTGCGCTCTGTTAGTGATGGAGGGATCAGGTATACATGTGGTCAACCATCACTATGTGTTAAAGCCCAGACATCCAGTGGGGATAAAGGGGCCACAGAGACAAAAGAGGCTGAAGGGGTTAGAGCAACAGGAGTAGGTGAGCTCTCCGAACCTCAGGTGCTTCACAACGCCGTCAGCAGTGATGAGTTACAAGAAGCTGGCGGTGATGACGAGAGCAGCGGCTCAGTCAACAGCCTCACGGGTTCTTCAGACAGCAACGCCGAAGCATCAACAAATCAGGGTGACAACAACAAGCAGGAGCCGACTGATGCCCGAGTACAGAGAGCCAACTCTGTCAACAAGGGCCACGGTGTCACTGTCAACAAGATGCAGGAGTGGATGCACAAGGGCCGTTTGCTGTCCTCTGAGATGAAGCAACGCATTGAGGGCTCATCTTTGCCGTGCAGCGGAGGACAAAGCCAGGACCGACCCTGCTCTCTTGGTAACCGAGGGGTTAAATCTGTCAAGGTCAAGTCTCCACGACAGCATCAGCCAGGTAGGAAGGCTATACGGAGTGGCCTCAACTCCCGTGGATCCTCTAAATCAGAGACCTCTCACCCTCCTTCCTCCCATCTGATTATTACATCCTCCTCCACTCATAGTAAACTCAGTCTGGTGGCGGTTCACCCTGCACTCCTCCTCTTCTGGATGCAAAGCAAAGGGACGAGACACCTCAGACCTCTTTGCTTTCCTTTTTAAGATGTTCTAACCGGTGGCGGGTTCTGTCCTTCAAACTAATTTAGGTGCATTTTTAACACTAAATTAATAGCACATCAGGTTTGTTGGTCGGATCACTCACAGTGTAGTTCAGTAACAACTAACTCCCTCTCTCCTCCGGTAGCTCATGTGGTGTTTTCTGTGGTGTTGGTGGTGGGTTGGTTTATGTTTGTGTGTTTGACTATTGACGTGTACAAAATGCCAAATGATGTTGTGTTTGTGATGTAGTTCAAAAACAGGAAAACATCTGTATTATGAAACCATTTACAGCAACATGTTACACCAAATCAACTTTTTAGGGGTTCAAAACGCAAATTAAATGTGAAATAGTTATAGATTATGTGTGCAACTGCATTGGCCAAAACCTTACCCAGCTGCCAAATTATTCTACCACAATGTCCATTTAGAAGCTCATCAGGTGCTTTCAATCACCATTCTGCCACAGCACTTGTATTTTACCCAGCACTTCTCTTCCATGTTGTCTAGAAATTTGAGACTGAGAGTTCAATCTTGACAAAATAATCTTATCACAAGCTCTGTTATCCCACATATTGCTCATTAACTGATTCTATGCACCACCTTTTAGTAACCTACACTACATTGGGTCACATTTAGTTAAAATGTCACTATGAGCAGTGCATGCTTTTATAACGAGTTGCTCCTTTCGTCCATGCTGACCTGAGTTGCCTGCAAACAAGGCAGGTTGCCAGTTCAATCAGGATTCGGAAACTGCCTGTGTGGAAAACTTTGTATTGACATTTGTTGCGCACGAAGATGAAAATAGACCTGCTTTGTATGGATGCAAAACATATTAGCACAGTTTTGTATTTGTGTAGTTTTAAATGGCAGTGTGAGTGTTGTTCTGACAGTGTTTTCCAGAGTTAATAGATGACCTGCCATGTGCGCAGGCTGCTGTTGACTGTCAGTGTTCTGTGCTGCTAGAAATAGAGTGTGATCTCAGCCTAGGCCTCTGTGTTTGACTTCCAGCCGCTGTTGGCTCATGATAGCTCCATCTTTTACTACTCAAACTCTTTCCTGTGCTGTGTTTTTGTTCAAACAAAGACGTGGCTCTTCTTTATATTAGTTTCCAGGGTCCCTTTCTCCCTTGATTCTCATTTTCCCCCGTTTGCTAAGCTTTTCCCTCTCTGTCACTGAACCTTTCCACAGCTGTGACCAGAGGAATCCGAAGCAGGAGAAAAGCCACTGCAGTTATTCTCTGTGGTGTGTGTGTGTGTGTGTGTGTGTGTGTGTGTGTGTGTGTGTGTGTGTGTGTGTGTGTGTGTGTGTGTGTGTGTGTGTGTGTGTGTGTGNACCAGAGATGCCTCTTTTACTTCCTTAAAAGGAATCTTGTCATTTGTGATAACAACGTTGGTGGTTTTGCCTCCAAGTGTCTACAAAAACGCCTTTTTGATTTAGTATTTCAACACTTTCTAACATGGCATCTTATAAAAACAGTCCCCTATACTTTACTATATATTGCACTATAATAGTTGTTAACAAAAGCAGAGACTGAAATTGTGTCATGCTGAATTGAAAATGATCTGGGTTTGTTATGGTTTGATATTTGATACCAGTGAAAAGGTCAAAACGAACTAATTAATCCAATCCATTGTCCTGCTGTTGCCTTCTCCCTTGGAGAAGTGTGATGGTGTAAAGAGACGATGGTGAGGCTGTGAATTTAGATCTGAGGTCTGGAATGCTGCTCGTGTCAGGACACGCTTCTTCTTCCAGTTATGAAAGACCCCTTAAAGAAGATGGCATGCTGACAACAACTCCATGCACAACCTTCTCACCTCTATAATTAGGGATGTCCCGATCACCTTTTTTTGCTCCCGATCCGATTCCGATCATTTGATTTTGACAATTTGCCGATACCGATTTTTCCCGATCCGATCTTTATGCAATGCATTAAGAGAAAAAAAAGCATTCAAGTTGTCCCTTAAGGTTATTTTTTATT